TATTTATTTATTTTTTCATTTAGATTTTGAATATCCGGGTAGAAAATAAATTTGAATAAAATATTTAAAAATAAAATACTTTTAATAATAGGTGTTGATTGGAGAGATAGTCCAAGAGAAGATAAACAAAAATTTACAAAATTATGTGAAGTTAGTTTAATCAAAAGAAGTTTTTTTTTTAATAAATTTTATTTATTAAGATTTTATATGAAACATTTGAAAAAGATGCTGAAAAAAATGGATATGAACGTCTTCTTTTAACTGCTGCTGTAGCAGCTGCTAAAGTTAATATTGATAAAGCATATGAAGTCGATAAACTTGTTCCGTTAGTTAAATTTTTATTATTATTATTATTAATTTCATATTTTTTGAATTTCTTGTTTTTTTTTGTTTAGAGTTCTCGATTGGTATGTCAATCAAATTATATTGTAAACATTCAAAGTTTTTTTTTTGTTTTTGTTTTTCCTATATTTTAAAACTAAGGTTTAATTTAATGACTTATGATTTTCATGGATCATGGGATCAAAATCGTGCTCATCATTCATCTCTTAATAGTAAAGATGGTGGAAACGATGATACAATGTATATTGTATGTCATATTTTCAATGATATTTTTTCTTATTTTTTTGAAAAATAATATTTAAATAGGATTTTGCTGTTAAATATTTTCAAAAATTAGGTATGCCAGCAAATAAAATGATGTTAGGTTTAGGTACATATGGTCGAGGTGATACACCAGCTATGCCTTATACAGGTTTTAAAGGTGAAAATGGTTTTGTAGCATATTATGAAGTAAAAATAGATCTTTTTTTTACTTTGAATAATTTTTTTGATTTCTAGAGTTGTATTCAAATTGTTTGTGAAAAAATGAAAGAAACATGGGATGCTAAACAACTTGTTCCATATATAGCAGGTCCATATAATCAACCAAAAGCTGGTGTAGAAAATGTTCGAAGTATGAAATATAAAGTAAAAACAAAAATATCAATGAAATAAATCTGATAAACATGATTCTTTTTTTGTTTTTTTTTTGAAAAGGCAAATTATATAAAACAAAATAATTTGGGTGGTGCTATGATTTGGACACTTGATATGGATGATTTTCGTGGTCAATTTTGTTGTCAAGGAAAATTTCCATTAATACGAACAATTAAAGCTGTTCTACATGGACAACTTAAATTATTACCAAAAGAAAAAATTTGTTCAACTTGTCCAACTAATGAATATAAAAGTATACAAAATAGATTTATTATAAGACAAAGTATACATTGAATATGTATATTTATCTAGATTTTAAACCAAATTCTCAATATCAACAGCCACAAACAACAGAAAAAACAACTAAAAAACCAAAAATATCTAAACGTGATGCAGAAGGACCAAGTAGGATTGATTTTTTTTTTTTGCAAAATCGAAAAACAAAAAAAATTTTTTTTTTATTGTTTAGCACCAGAAGATGTTTGTGAAGAATTAAAAGATGGACAATGGCCAGATCCAACTGATTGTAAAAGTTATTTCTTATGTCGTGGTGTCGGTAGTCAATGGGGTGAACAAAAACGTGAAATGTGTTATGCTGGTAAGTATTAAACAATTGCTTGTTCTGCAGTAAGGAAAAGTCAGAACGCTGTAACAGATATATAAATATCGTCATTCAATTGAGGCAAAAACTTTCACTACAGGTCTTTCAATTTCAATGGTCTTTTACTACATAGTGTTCTAATAGAAATCCTTAAAAGAATTGAGTTCCTATTTGATATTTGACTAAACTATTCAATTTTTAATATGTCTTTTTCTGAACTTTTAAGAAAAGCTAGTCTAGTTAAATTCTCTATACATTAGGTGTCAGATCGAAATTTGAAAGTATGAGCTTTCTGAAAACTTGAATAAACGTATTTTTAATGTGATAAGAAGTTTTGAATTTTTTCGAAATCGAAAGAGTTTGTATGGAACAGTGATGAATCAGAATGAATATTACATTTGTAAATTCTAACGAGAAATCAGACTATACAATTAGGGAAGAATAGAACGATTTTTCTCATGTTCTGCATTTCTTCTTGGAAATTTTACATTGTAGATAATTAACATTTTTAACCTTTCGATGACGAAAAGATTTCCTATGTAAAAGCAAAATTCTTTTTGCAATTTTTTAAAGAAAACAAAATTCATTTAATCCAGCTTATACTATCTTAACATACGTAACTTTTCAATAGTTTCCATATTGACTATGAGCGGCGTACGATTAATTTTTTAAATAGATCCATTGTCTTTCCCCTTCCTCTAATAGTAGAAGGTGTGAGTGAAGATAAGAAGAACATTCACATTCTATTGATGAATACAGTTTTTGTATGTAGTAAAGATATATTTATTTCTATTGATTAGAAATTTCTTTGCGAATTTATTAAAACAAGAAATAGCAACGAAAGAAAAAGTGTTCACGATTGATATTAAGTTTATTAAAAGTTCTAGCTGTGAATATATTTTTTTGAAAGAAAAAACCTGATGAATGAATGGTTTCTCTGTAGTCTTGGGAGAGTTTCCTCCCTCCTGATTAGAACGAAACGACACCTATAAATAAAATCGATCGAAAACATGGAATCATTACCAGTCGATGTAATTACGTAGATGACACACGTTCTAGAAGATTGATATTTACATTTAGGAGAATACTTTCAAATTACTTTTTATGAAAGAAAATGTACGTAGGACAAACTATGTTGCCCTATCCTAATGACAATCTCTGACATATAGTAATTAACTTTTGACATATGCAATTAGTAATAATAACAAGAATGTAAATTTGGTTCGTCCTAATTTTCTTTTTTAATTAAATTATATGTTGATTATCTTGTAAAAATTAAAGAATAGAAAAAAAAAATTGTTGTCAATGAGATTCATACTTATTGATATTGTATTTAAATTTTAAAAAAATTTAGTAAATTATTTTTTTTTTTATTCAGGTTCTTATTTTGATCCTAATGATAAATCATGTAAATGGGTTGGTGCTGATAAGGTTTATTCGATATTCTTTTTTGTTTGTTTTTTCTTCTCTCATATTTTACTTTTTAAAATTTTTTTAGCTTAATTGTGAAGACTTAGTCGAAGGTTATGATAATCCAGTTGCTAGTGTAACACAATCAACATCAAATGATGATGATGATGTTGAAGATGAAGATATAACAGATGAAATGGGTAAATCAACAAAAAAGAAACTATCTAAATCCTCCTCCTCATCATCATCAAATAAACCAATATCAATATTAAGTCGAACAATATCTGAATATGATACATGTACACCAGAAAAATCTGTTGAATTTGATCCTGTACAAGGTAATAGATAAATTCCTATTTTTTGTTTGACATGATTTGCTTCATCTACCATAGCCTTCTATAGGTATGCTTTGTTACTCTTGCGAAAGTCAGAAGGAGAACAGCGATTGTCAATTAAATCCCAATCAGACAACAACAATGATGTGCGAATCAACACAACAAATTTGTTACAGCAAAAAAACTATAAACGCCATCGGTAAACAAAACAAAAACAAAATATAAATTTAAGAAAATCTTCGTTTATATATATATATACATCTTTAAGGAAAACTAATGCAATTCAGTCGTGGTTGCACAATGCCACCATTATCGACGGGCAATATTACTCAAGAATTACAATGCCTATCAAGCAAAACCGACGGAAAGACTATCTGCGTGAAATATTGCCAGGACAATTTATGCAACAATCAGGATATAAGGTTAATTTTTTTTTGTTTTGAAAATCTTAAATTGAAATCTATATTTTATTTAGCGATGGCGCACTATCAATTACAATCGATCGAATGACATTCATCATTTATTATCTTCTAGCTCTAATATTAATGATCATAACAATACAAGATTATTGTTAATTCTGACGTTTTTATTAAAATATTTTTTTTTCTAGTTCGAAAATATGAACTAACTATTAAATTGAGCGCGCATATATTTCTTTTGTTGTTTTGTGTTTCTTTATTAATCTTTCTTTATTGCTCTGTACGTGTTTGATCTTATTGTCAAAAAGAAAAAGAAAAAAGAAAAGCACTCCTAAAGGATTATAAGTACACACTAAAATTGATTTTATTACAAATAATCAAATATTTAGCAACATTTTTCAAGGTTTATATAGTCTTCTTCTTTTTTTTTTTTTGATTTCTTATTATTTAATATTTGTTTATAATGTCAAATGAAAAATGACATTTAATCAAAAAGAACTCTTTAGCGTTTGATATTTACTTCTTTTTTTTTCTTTTTTTGGTTTACTCCATTAACAGATTTCATGGTCGACATGCGCTACATTTATTCTGTCTTGAGTGCTTTATGTACATATGTAAATAATACAAGTTTATTTAGTATTCTCTTCTTTTCATTAGTGAATATTGATTATTCGACAATTGAAATCATATGAAAAGAGGTCGAATATCAGATGATGTAACCGTAACTGAGGTTTTTTTTTTTTTTTTTTTTGGTGTTTTTTCGCTTCTTTAGTTGCCTTCATACGAAATCAAAATAAATCCTGATAAAAAAAATTACAAGAGGACAACGAGAGAGAGAGAGAGAGAGGGCGAGAAAGAAAATGAAATATTCTCTACTTTTAAAAGTACATGTGTGCATAGATCTATACAGACTTAATGATTACCTTTTGGCCTTGTTACCATTGCAAGACACTTCACCTTCTCAACGGTTTTTTTTTTTGTCATACAAAAGAGGTAGAAAAGAAGAAATTAGGGTAGTTCTGTAAAAAGAAAGAAAACCTTATACAATGTCTCACATTTTTTTCTTTTACATTTTTTTTTTCTTTTATGATGACCTAATATTTTAGAATACAAAAATAGTACTCTCTTTCTTCTCTCTTATTCAAAGATTTTTTTATTGTCATTCTTATATTTTTTTTTTTTGTGTTTCTAATTATAGATACGTTATCTATCTATCTCTCTTATGTTGATGATAATTAATTGTTTTAAAATATCAATATGTCTAGTGGTGAAATAGATACGACTGCATTAATTATGTATGTGAATTATAAAATATAAATTTTATGAAAAGTTTATCTTAATTTTTAATTCAGTTCTATATGTGTAATTGTACCAGCAGCGATTGCTATTAGCGTTTGTGCGATTATCTATTTTGCACATCGAAACAGAGATCGAAAATTACATCGTCAAACAAGTATGAATTATTTGAATTTATGTATTTCTCAAGTAAAACACAAAACCTAAATCCTATAGAGTCGATGGATAATTTATATAAAAATGAGAAACAAAAAAAAAGATTATAATGTTTATAGCTGTTCGATGCACTCGAAACTCCTTGAGAAAGAGTAGCAGTTTGTAATAAATCAAACGAAAATAACCTCAGTGAACTTTATTATTTTTTTGATAAGCTTATTATTTTTTTTACGATAAAATAAATTGTTTTTTTTTTTATTAGATAGATCATCATCATTATCATCATCATATGACTATGAACAATCACGTGAACGACTACCTCAAAATAGTTATATAATTGATTTTACAAGTGTCAATCGTTCTCAACAACAACAACAACAACGTCGTCCACGTGCACCACCACCTGTATTTGAACAATCACCACCATCATATGACATATCAATTAATCAAACACGACGACAACCTATACCATTATTTTCACCTATTCGTACAATACCATCAAGAACAATTGTTCATCGATCTTCACCAATTATAACTCCATCTATATATTCAGCAATGCCACCATCTTATGCTGAAATATTTTTAAAACCACATACATTACTAAATGGATGAAAAAAAAATCATTCGTTTATTTTATTTATTATTAATCATTGATTGTTTATAAAAACAAAAAATAGGTTCTTTTTGTTCTTCTTTTTCTATTTATATTTTTTTACATTTTATCTCATTCGTATTATTTACATAATTTATAGTTTTGAAAGCAAAAAGAAATAAACAAATGAGAAAAAAATATTATCATTGAATTTGAACTGTTTCATGATTATTATTTGAATTATATGTTATTAATTTTGAACGAAATGAATGATCACGACAATATGAAACCTTTTATAAAAAAAAAAAAAAAGAAAGAAGAAATTTAATAAATAAATAAATCTTTATAATTTTATCTTAAATACATACTACACGAACTAATGAACATATTAAATCAGTAAAACCTAACATTAATGATAATAAAAAAACAATAAATGACCAATCAAATTGTTCATTTGTACGACTTGTAATTACAATAAATCCAATTGTTATAAAGACCATAGCAGCTAATACAAATATTAAAGTTGTTACAATAGCAAGTTCTTCTACAACGAGAGAGAAAAATTATATATATATATATATATATATATTCTTTTTTTAAACTCACCTAAAATTAGATTAATACGAGATCGTTTTCGTTTGCATAAAAAAAAAATATTTGATAATTCAAATATAAAATTTACGGAAGTGATTATAGAAAAAAATAATATTCCTCCTTTAGTATGATCCCTTGCATAACATAAATTACCAAAATCATAGCATGCTAATTTAAGACCTATATTAATAAATGTTAAATATTTTATTATACAAAAAAACGAAAAAAAAAAAAATTACTATCACACCTCGATGTTCATTTCCATCAGTATTTCGTATCCAATGATGAGTATGAAGTGATACAAACATTGTAATACATGTCATCAATTTGCATATGAAAATAAAAGTACTCAAAAGTGGTGAATGCATTTATGTAACTAGCTTATACTTTCATATGATCGATTACGATTCTTTCCTTGATCTATAATAATAGTTCTATTATATATATATATATATATATCTTCTTTTTTCTTTCTAGATAAGCATCAGATTACAAAACAACAGTAAAAGGTAATGCTTTGGTATTGAATATCAGCTTAATTTTTATCTTATATATTATCTAACAAAATTTAATATAATTTCAAAACTATAGTTGTAGTCTCTTAAAGACATATTATTTTTATATGAATTATTTCATATTGTTATAACACTTCAATAATAAGTGTAATTTCTTGTTTTCTATCAAAATATTGTTTTTTCTTTCATTAAATAAAAGATTTTTACAACATTTTAACAATAAACAATCGAAAATATTGATATTAAAAAAAATCGAATTAAGGAGTAAGTCTCTCTATTGTTAAATTTAACGAATACAATCAATAATTGATTTATGTCTATAAGATTGTTTACCATGATTTGTTATACTTGTTTCATCATATTGACAATTATTCATCTATATATATATAAAACAAAATTTATAAATGACAAAAAAAAAAATAAAAATAAAACTTACAATTCGAACTATCGAACAAATACAATCAATAGGTATAAGAATAGTAGCTAATCCAAAAGCAAAAAATGTCCAATGAAGATGAACTATACGCATTTCAATTGATATACGAATATGAACAATAGTAACCCAAATACAATGAATTGTAACAGCACATAATAAAGCAATACTTGTTTGTTCTAGATTGAAAAATATAGATTTTAAAAAAAAAATCAACAAAAATAAAATATAAATTTTGCATTTACCAAGAAAACAATTTAATAATGTTGGAGCACGTGACCATATTGAATAGAATAAAATAAGATTAATAATTTCTAATAAAAGACTGATAATTAAAAGTATACAAGGTGCAATAACAATTAAATGTGGTAATGGCATTTGATTTTCTAAATTACAAAATGCTCCATATGAAATACATAAATCTTGAACTAAATCTTTGTTTACTATATATAAAATAAAAATTGATTATTTTATATTTAAAAATAAAACAAAACATATATCTTATTTTACCTGAATAATTATCAATTTGAAACCAATGATATGCATAAACAGATATAAGTAAACATATTAATGAAACTGTTTTACAAGTTAAAATAACAATAGATAATATATTCATATACATATTGCTTGTAAATATAAATCTTTATATAATAATAGATATGTAATAGATAAGTAACTTATTATAAAATATCATTTGATTAAATACAAATACATACTGTTTGATTTAGATGAATTGATTGAATATGATTCTACAGTAAAAGAAAAAAAAACATTTTATCATATATGACATAAAGTATTTATTTTCAAATCCAATGACCATGTGTCTTATATAATGTAAAAGAGAATATCATATTTAGCATTAATTCTAAGCAAAATTAATGTTTTAAGTATAATCATGAAAAGTGTTTATGTGCACATTATAGAAAAAATTAAAATTTGCCTTGACAAAAATTTTTCATACTTACATTAATAATACTAATTTTCATTAAATAAAGTTCTGCATATTATTCTTTGAAATGATAATTAACAGAATTCATTATAAGACTACTTCAAATACATAAAATATTATATATTTACTATTATATACTTTAAATTATGTTGAATCTCATGGTTGACTTCTAGAAGATTGTTTCAATTACAAACATAGAAAGAAAATCAAGAACACCAAAATAATTGCATAACGAAATCAAAGCTCAAAAACATAATCATTGCTTTAAGGGAATTGTCATATGTATATTGCTTCTTCTAAGAGATCAATAAAAGGTCTAAATGATCAATGGATCTGAACCTGTCAAAATAATTTTCTCAAAAACATCATCATTAAAAGATATAAACGATCAAATAGAATATATTTATATGTGATAGAAAAAAAAAGAGAAAAGGAAATGATTGAACCAATTAGCTAAATCATATGAAAGTTTTAAATTATGACAAAAAGTTTTATGAAGAATTTCCTGTTGAGAAATAGCAAAACAAGAAAAGAACAAAAACAGGAAAGACTCAAGCAAAAATAAGAAAATATTTAAACTAAAAATAATTCATCGACGTAATTCAATAGTTATTTGTTGTTCATGTTTATATAAGATTGAGAGAAATATTGAATATTAGTCAAAATACAATTAAGAAAAATTTCATTAAGAAGTTCGAATATTTAATTTGAGCTTCCGCAAATTGATAAAAAATGTTTTTATGATTCTCCGGAGAAAAAAAAAACACTATGCCGAAAGATGATTCTATAATTATTGCATCTTTTTATTAACATCAATCTATTGTTATTTTATTTTTGCATAATCTTAAATATTAAACAAATATGACTTCCGTTTGTTTTTCTCTTACCATTGGGATATTGTTTAATGAATATTACAGACAACAAAAAAAAAAACAAAGAAGTCATCCTACCCTACTTAACAGAATAAATGCTTCTGATGAATATACGCACATTTTTTATCTATTAAAATATGTTAACATTTATATAACAGAATAAAAATAGAAGCATGAAATATAAAAAATTTGCATGACATGAGAATAACTTCATTAACTGAAAAAATATTTCTTCTTATCTAAAGTAATTTATAAATTACAAGGACACTACTCTTTTTTGTACGTATTCTTTCATGACTATATATATATATATATCTGAGTAATCCTTAATAATTCAAAATTACGGAAAAAAAAGAGAGGTTTATTTAATTAAAAAAAAAATATATATATATATAGAAGTGCTACTTCATTTAAAATGAGTAACGACTAGAAAATAATAATTATTTGATACGATTATTCATATCAATTTTTCCCAAATGATGACTTATATATATATATATCATAATAATTACGAAGAAAACATTTTAGCTAAAACTAGAAGTTATGCAAAAAAAAAAAAGAAAGAACCATTCATTTCGTTCTGTCCGATATAAATGTCAAGCAGTTCTCAGAATGATTTTATCATGTATTGAGATCTTATTTCAGTCAAAATAAAAGAAGATAAACATCTGGTTCATTTAATGCATGAAAAATAAAAATAAAAGGAATAATACATGTGACATAGCACTAATACAATGAATAACTATCTATGAAAAGAAACGAATACTGGGCATAGATATTTATAGGCTATTCCAGGCAAAACAGTATGTATTCACCTTTTATTTAACTTTGATGCTTTACAAGGGTTATTTTTCTGAATACCGCTAACTATATGAGAAAAAAAATCTAAAAACTTTACATTATGAATTGTATCTTTGATGAAATTTTCAGACTCCAAAGAATTGGCTTCTAGAGATCCTATCAAGTCCTGAAACAAACATTTTTGTCTTACTAGCTAATGGAAAGTAAATGAATTTTTTCTCTTTGGAAAATCTAGGCATGCTCAAAACAAAAAAAAAAAAACTTTGAATAGAAATTTTCTTGCTTCAAGAGTTGCCTATAGAATGTATTATTTATTTTTCAAAACTGATGCCTCAATTGAAAGTCATGAAGCGAAAGTCAATGTTCTTTTTTATGTCATGTCGATACAGCTAGATTTTTTATTAATAACTCTTCTGAATAAAGATCTCTAGTGATGATTGTTTCAAAATATCTAAAGTAATTTAATATACATCTAATATATAAAATTTAGCTCTAGGAAAATTTCTTATCCCGAGGTACATGTATTTTAATTTTCCAAAGTCACGTACCAACAAATGATTCTATATGTGAATTGCAACATTATTGTATTCTTTTAAAAAAAAAAAAAAAACTTTCGATTTGAACGATAATAATTAGTACATTTTACTGTACTATTTTAGATGAAAAATACTTGAAACTATAAATTGAAAAGAATTTTCTTTAAATACTATGATTTACAACTGAAATTCTCGGTTCAATAAATGTGAACAATATAAAACTAATAATATCTTTTATACTATATATTCACAATATAACTTCTATAAGATGCAATTTAGAATCGATTCATAGTACATAAGATAGGAACTAAACTAATAAA